CCTAATCTGGAGTACTCGATGCCAGTTGAGGTCTTGTACTTTGTTCTGCTCATATTTTCAAAGTTTAATTCTTTTATTTTCAGACACTATATGATGCGTGGTTCATCTCATTTTATAACGTGTTTTTCACCTCGGCGCCGATCGTGTTTTTAGCTGTTCTCGATCAGGTAGGAATAGGAATAATGTCGGTGACGTTCTTATTTGTCTCACTGGGAAATTNGGAAAAACTGACGGTTAAGATAACATCATTAGGCTAGACAAGCGGCAACAATTTCTGATGTTTTCTTTCGCTTTCAGGACGTTTCGGAGACAAGTTGTTCAAAGTATCCTCGTTTGTACATACCTGGCCAAAAGAATCTATTGTTCAACAAGAAAATCTTTTTCATGAGCTTGTTGTACGGAACCCTGACATCCCTAGCAATCTTCTTCATCTCATACGGTGTCTTCCAGGATCGTATAGCAAATGATGGTTTAGAGACATCTTCTGTCTACTTCTTTGGCACTGTGGTGGCAGCTATTCTGGTGGTCGTTGTAAACATCGAGGTGAGAAGACGGTCATTCAGTGATACTCATAAAATACTGAGTTCTGCTTGTTTTGGTAGACGTCATTGTACCAGTTACGTGATTTTGGTAAATTCGGTTTACTATTTAGTGTGTCATCTAAGCTGCGATCAATAGGCCATTTTCGATATATAAAAATTCTAACTTTGCTACGAGGCTTGGTGGAACAAAACAAAGGAAATTAATTATTCATCCCTCAACCTCGATGCGATTTCTTTTGTTTTATTCCCCCAAGCCTCGGAGCCAAGTTAGAATTTTCATCTGTCGAAAATGGTCTATTTTTGTGTGATATAACTGTGGTATCTCACACTATTGTCATTGGCTCGTGTCCGTTAATGCAAATGAGTTTGTATCCCTCACATGTACCCTTTGGGTACCTATTTTTAATTCACGTAAGTGACCAGCTGTTAAAGGAAACACCTGGCTGAAGGGTATAATTTTTGCATAGTATGTTTTTTTTTAGTTACATCACACCTTAAATGTAGCAAATACAAACCCTGGAAATCCTTTTAAAAGTTTTAATAACCGTTCTTGTTGTCCTCTTCAGATCTCGTTTCTCACACAATACTGGACGTGGATAAATCACTTTTTCATTTGGGGAAGCATCATCTTTTACTTTGTGTTCTACTTCGCATTTTACGCCGAGTTCGTGTTCAACCTCTTTCCTCAAGGCCACTACTATGGCATGCAGTTCGAGGTTTACGGCAGTGGAGCGTTCTGGTTCTGCTTGTTTCTCGTTCTTGTCGTGACAATTACTCCTCGTTTGTCCTACTACTTTATTGAAAATGAACTGTATCCATCACTCAGCGACACTGTGAGGCGACAAGAGGCGCACAAGAGACTCCAAACCAGTCTACCCTTGACAGAGTTTAAGCCTCAGCTGGTTCGTAGGCGAAGTTCTAAGCGCTCCAGTTATGCCTTTGCCCACCAGGAAGGATTTGGCAAAATTGTCATGTCACCTAAAACGTTTTTGAGGAAAAAACTACGTTCAGGAACATCAAGTAAAAATGATGTAGTTACGGTGTGAATGCGGTGAAATATTTTGTTATATTGAGTCTATTAGCTTTTACCTCTCATGCACGTCAAATTTAAAGTAAATGGGAGTTCTTGAAAATCCCGCCGTTAAATTTGAATTTAAAGTGCGTGCAAACCGATACTTTTTTAGCTCTGTTTTAATTCAGATGACTTCGATACTACAAAAAGAGCACGATTTAATCAACCGTAGGAAAACTCAATGAAAGAACTTGCAACATTTTCCACGCAGGAAGTGAGCGGCGTCACTAGTATCAATTCGGTTCGTATGCACCTTCGTACACCGATTTATCGTCTAGTTAGATAGACTAAGATACATTTTATATTTGAGGCATTTTACAAGGATCGTGTAGATACAGAAGTGGAAACTTGGTATATTTTGGTAAGTAGTAGAATATAAGGTTTGGAAGCACATTTTTTTACACCCGTTTTGTCAAGGGAAATTAGCTTAGTAGAAACTCTTACTCTGAAGTTCAATGCTTCCACTTTGCATAGTATTGTTTCTACCACTGTGCGCAGTTAGATTTTAACGTAACCAAGGTTCTGGTGCGAAAATGTTTATTTTATCATACATACATGTATGCTCCAAATCTGGCAAAACGTTCCTTTTTAAATGATTTTTATTTTTCTTCGTAAATAACCGTTGGTGTATGCTTTGATAGCATTTTGGCCAATGTCCAGGATGTAACGATTCATCCTTTTGGTGTGTTTGCAATAGCAAGCCATCTTAGAACCTCTAACGTTTGTCAACCCTGGCCGGTCCGAAATGTACGCTTCGTCAAGGTTGTATTGCACAAAACTGAAACTTACGCTCTTTGAATAGTATTTTGTGTGTGTGCTTTCAATGCACGCACGTCACTTGGTAGTTCCCAGGCCCTTTGGGAACTCCTGCACGCTGGGTAGCACAACCGGGAGGGTAGGCTCTTCATGTATGGTGTTTATTGTGTACCATTCAATGATACACTTGACCTCTCAACCTACATTCACGATGGTCGCATCCGACAAATAGTAAGCATCGTTTAAGTTGTCCAACCATTTTCTCTCCATTAAATTAATGCTTAGAAGTTTATAAGTTATACAACCATTTCTTCATTATTACATTAACTGCTGTAAGCTTTGAAGTTTGACAGCCACTTTATCATTATTAAATTATGTGGGGCTTTTTCCACTTCGTGGTATTTGAAGAAATCAGCTTGTTTATGAACTGGCTAAGTAAGCAGGGTTCCTTAAAGTATCACTATGTTAAGTAGCTAAAGCTTTGTAGGTTAAACAAATAAAATGTCAAAAACTATTGCTGGTGATATCAGTTCGGTGTAACGCGGCAATGATACATCCATCGGTCTGTCTTTGCATTCATTGTTCATCACTTAACCTAACCACTCAAACGTCTATCGTGACGCGCTTATTTCCACATACAGCAGTTTCGAAAAAGGTTGTCAGATAAAAGCGTCAAGTGTACGCTACACTATTTACAGTTTCTATTTTTCAACGCATGCGAAAGAAAAAGCGAGCGCGAAGCACGCGGGGAAGGGGGTGGGGGAGGCGAGCGAAGCGAGCTAAACGGAGAATTTTTCTGTTTTTCCTCCGTCCCCACCCATACCCTGTCAAGTCTCCCATTTTGCGCTGGCGTCTATGCTCTCAGGATTCTATCCGTGCGTTCAACGATCGAATAAAAATACGAGAGAAAAGAGAGCTGTGAACAGTCTAAGCCTACGCGACAACACCGAATAGTAGTCTGGGTATTCATTTTGCATATCGCTGTAGGAGGAATCTACAGAGTTGTAGTTTTGCACATGAAGCGTTTGCAAGGAGACAGAAGATTGTCCAATCATAAGACAACTTTTCTGCAGCTTTTCCTTCACTATTTGTGACTTTTAGTTGAAAATTCTTCTAAAGTGTGGCGAAAAGAACCTTGTTTCCACAAGTCGGAAGAAGAAGAAAACTTACGAAATGGCATTTACCCATACTAACTATTAGCTAAGGGCACTTTTTGTGCTGTTTGTTGTATTGTTTTCTCGAAGGGTGTCAAACCATTCATGAGAGGCTCAAAATTGAGTGGCGTGACCAGTCATGCATGAAGCTCGAAGTCGTTCCTAAAAATAAACACAACGAAATTATATATGCCTTCGATTTAAGAGAAACGGGACTGTATAAGCGAGTTTCTTTCGCGCAAATTCATTTTTTGCTTTTTCTTCGTGATAATAGCCCAGGATATGCGATTTCCCTTTAACAAGTCGAATTAACCGGGAGAAAACCTCTCTAAATACAAACACTGAACCTTGAGTTTGAATTTGCTTCCCTAAATATTGCTATAACAGCGAAATGTTAGTCACAGCTTTTCTATTTGGACAGAGTTCTTGAATTCAGAACGCRTATTTTCTCGTCGAAAATTGTTACCACCGGCTTCCCGAATTAAGTTCGACGCAAGTACGCCGTCTGAACCAGCCGTCGCTCCAAAGTCGCTCTGAAGTCGAACTAAATCAAGTTTGGTTCGGTCCATGAGTGGAGGGGCGTTTGGACCGGGCCTTACTTTGCCGGGTGAAAGACTTCCGCGAGCAGGCTTTCGTGAAATGATGCTCTGTGAATTCCGAATATTTTCAGCGTTCGACAGCTGCTACGGAAACTGAATAAACTAATCGATGTTACTTTGGCTACTGTGCATGTCAACCCTGTTGCTGCTCCCTGAGTCGCAGTTTCCTCCTGGTGGCCGTTCCATTCCCACTCTTTTTGTAAAGCGCTTGCTTGTTAAGATTCAAGTCAATAAGTGATTAGTCATTACATAAAGTTTTTTTTTTTTTATCTGACACAAGATGCCTTGGATGACCTTGAACTAGTAGTATCAGAAACAAATTATTAATTCACCTATCGTGAAAATCATGCGTTACTAGTTTTGCTAATTTTGAGACGAGAATGATTATGCGCGGTAACAAGTGGGCATGAATTGGACTGAACTAGCTACTAGTACTCTATGTAGGTTCTTAATTAACATCCAAAAAGGAGCAGTCACGCTAAAAAGGCAGTCTCTACATCAGGCAACGACGGAAGCTCTTTCGCGGGCAGTTTTGAATCGGAGACAAACGTCACGAACTCTAAAAACCATCAAGACTGATTTAATCCAGTATCAATATTTAAATTCAAGGCCATAACCATGGTTATGGACACTTCTTTCATAGCATTCGACACGCGTTCAGCATTTGAGATCGCAGGCCGGTCGTAGATTATTAGTTGTTCTTCGCAGAAATGGCAGCGAGAGATAAGTCAGCCATGAAAGTTTCGCTTTCCCGTTCTCGATTCCCGACTTTTCTCTTCATCATACTTCTTTTTATCGTCGTTGTTCTTCTATACTACTACTGGAGTCTATCTTCTTCAAATCAAGTTCTTCTTAGGGAATTGAAAATTTTAGAAAGCGGAAAGTTAGAGACCGAAAGAAAGCGCAGTGCGTTGGAGAGTCAGATCTTCGAAATAGAGAATGAAAGGCGTTTGGCAGAGGAAGATTTAGAGAAAGAAAGATCGAGGCGAGTGGAGAATGAAAAAACGGCTATGGAAGTGTCTTCTGAACTGCATGGACAGCTTCAAATAACAACAGAGCAGCTTTATACTGCAGAGGAAAACGAGGTTGGTTTCAACATGGAGATGTAAAATAATGCTTGTTTCTTTAATTTATAACATACTCGGCCTTACACGGCTCAGGCTGTACATTGCAAATACATCCAGTTTGGCTACTGTACTAGTGTAACTTTATTTTTGCAAGGTTTTAATTTCATTATTAATTTCGCGTGTCGTTCTAAAGATTCACGAAAACAAAGGTAAATGTTACCAAGTGATTCATTCATTTTCCCGCAAAAGTTAACCGGCCCATCGAAAAGAAATCCTGTTGGAGTGGCCACCAGACCGGGCAAGATGGGGCTACAGTGAAACCTCCACATAATAAAAGGCCAAAGGACTGGCAAAATATGTTCGTTATAACGAGGTTTCGTTTTATGTAGGTTCTTTTCCATATATTTTGCCATTACTGTTTTTTTCTATTACTGGGTCGAGGAAAATCGTTCGTTATACCGAGGACTTCATTATATAGTCTCCTTGTTAAATCGCGGTCCACTGTATCCTGCCCGCTCGGGATGACCCGCTGTTTCCCGCATGAAAATGGTGCCCCCTAAATCCTTTATTGACCAGCCAACCTTATTCAGTCAAGATGGCCGGATATTGGCCTCGTTCTTTTTTTTTTTTTGCTCCTTCATAAACCTTAACTGTGTCTCGGTCTATAAGGGGAAGCAAAAAAAATTATCGGCCAGTCCCACGGCCATCATTCCTCATGATTGGTCTACAGCCCATATCAGGAACCATAATCGGGCCATATAAAACATAGAAAAAGCGTGTTTCATTGTTTTTCGCCACATTACCTCTATCATGAAGCAAATAACGAAGCCTAAACAGTGTATTACACTGTGATAAAACACTCCGGACATTTGATAAAATATAGAAACACTCGGCTGCGGCTCGTGTTTTCTACATTTCCCTCGTGTTCTCAAATGCCCGTCGCGTTTTATCAGTGTAATGCACGGCCTAGACTTCTTTATTTGTTGAATAAAACGCTTTTATTTCAGTAGCACTGTTTAATACACACACACATGTGATCCCTACAAATGAAAAATTCAGCGCAGCTGTACCTGTTGTCCTTGAAACGAGGCTAACTTTGTCTGAGAGTGCGTTTCCTTTTCAAGGTGATAAGTTTCTGCTCATTCTTGACCCAAGCCGAGACTGTTTTGCAAAATTAATAGCTTGGGCGTTCCCCTTTGTATGGCTGTGTTTATTGCAAACAGTTTACAGATGTTTTCAGCCTTCTTAGACGTTGTCGCTGCGTTCGAACCACATATAATAACAATTCTCTTTAGGGAATTTTATGATTTTCTCTTGGAAAAATAAACAATTGTTGTGTTGACCCCCCGCAGAGAAACACGTCTTACAGTTTCGCAAAGATCTCTGGGATTGTTTCAGTCGCAAGGGTTCAAAATGGCTTCCAATGGAATAGTATTCAGGCCAGGCAGAGGCCCATCTTTCATCCTCGTAGGGCTTGTAGTCATTGTCATTATACTGTTTTACAGTTATTGGGGTGTTTCTTCCAAGAACAATAAGTTACTCAGAGATGTTAGTGTTCTGCAAGACCGGCTACGTGTTTTAGCAGCTCGCAAGCTCACCGCAGACAAAAAGGGTTCTGCTTTGGTGAGCCAAATCACTCAAATGCAAGACGAAAAAGAGAAAGTGATAAATTCAAAGGACTCCAAGATAACTCAGATGACCCAAACCTTGCGAAGCAAAGAGGCTGAGTTAAGAAAATTTCGAGACCAAGAGGTTGGTAAAGGTTTCCTAGCTTACGCATAAATTTGAATACAATAAGCTTATAATTAGGCTGCAGTTTAGTTTTCTTGTAATTTTTCACTTTTAGTCTTTGTGGTTGGTATTTAAGCTTATACAGGTAATATGCTGTTAACTTGCGATGAAGAACGTTAATTTCTTATTGCGAAAGTGTTGTGTGGTCACGAGAAAAGCAAGGCGCATTTCGAATTCGTACAACCTGCGAGACTTCTCCTTGAAACCTACGCCTGTAGCATAGCAACCTATTCTTGCTGTTTGACACGTTAAGATTATGTTAATTTTTTACACCTTAAACGGAGCCCATTAAATAGTGTTTAGCGTACAGTTGGTTTCATTTTATCCTTGCTAGTTCTAAATAGAAACCATTGACAGATTTTTAAATTTGTTTAAATGTTTATTGTTTTAAGGTCTCTTCAGTGAGCCTACAGTATCCTAAAATTATTCAAAGTAATGAGCTTTTCCTGCATTATTCAATAGAGGTGTACTGATAAATACAGAGACCATGGTGCCACAGGAAAAAATATTTTGTCTAAAAGATTTCAGTTGACAAGGTTTTCTGTAGTCCTTGATTGTTTTAACCATGTTATCAGCAATTAAGGTTCAAAGTCAGGATTTTGTATACCAATAAAGCGTTTAGTTTTTTCAAGACCTAATAGCCTGGGCTAAGATTTGTGGATGCTGTTAATATTAGTTACACAAGTATAAAGTGCATGACAAACTGCAGGGATATCGCTTAGCGCCTGCTACAAGCTTATTTCACCTGCTGAAAGAGAACATAAATACAGCTGAAATTTCAGACGAAAACAAAGACTTGGGTGCACTTAGGAACTTCTAATGCCAGAAAAGCCAGCTGGGCTTGTTAATGAGCTGGTTTGAAAGTGTTTTCTTAGCTATATTCCTGAAACTGTAAGAAGAAACAAGAACATGTTTCAATCTATGAATTGAGGTAACCACTTGTAATGAGTCTTTTTAAGTGCCAGACCATCGTGTACTCTGTGTGCCACACCATTTTCACTGTACTGAAAGTGGGGGTCAAGTAAAAGGTCATAAGTGTCTCTTCAGTGCAGTTAATTTTGCTGAGGTTGATACAATTTGATATGCATATGAAGTCACAGCAATGGGAAATTAGCAGTCTCTCCAAAAACCTCCTATGAATCTCACGTGCGATAAAAGCTGTTTCCAGTGTGCCAGGAGTTTGACTAAATCTGTTAATTTTGGCGTACTCACTATGTACTCAGTACACCTGAGGGACAAAAATCATGATGTACTGAGTATATCAAAGACGCACTCAAGGGGTTAAACTAACACGTTGTTTCAAGGGTGATTGCAAAATTTGTGTCTTTTCCCTTCAAAAAATGTGCAGCCATTGAAAACATGATGAAACATTTACAGCAATAACAGGTATCTAGTCTTGTAGGTGGGAATCAAATCTATAGCCATGTTCCTTAATTGTTAAAAAACCCTGCCAAGACATATAGAACTATTTTCTAAATCTAGACAAACAGTCACATTTTCCTACTTTACAAAAAATCTGCCCTTGCATATGTTTATGTTGTGTATACCGTCGCTTGCATCTAAGCGTGAACATGTGACGCCAAAAGATGACCTAATTGGGTGCCAATCCTCTGTAGGAAAAAAGATGGTGACTGGTACATTTACTCATAGTTCTTAGCACACGAAAACCTTAACAACGTTCATAAAAATGTACAGGAGAGTTACAAAATCTTCAAACCTAGGCTACTTAATGTCCTTAATACAGTGACAAATATTGTAAAAATTTGGCTTTCTTTGTGCCTTTCAGGCTGTGTTAGGTTCGCAAGGCATTGTGGTAAAATGTACAGCCGACATCTTTTTACCTACGGTGGATTGTGGCATGATTGGTCATCAAACATTTGAAGTTTAGCAGACCGTAATGCAAACTTTTTGTGCTAAAAGTTCAGCACACGAAATGGCAGAAAGATTGGACATTCAAGACTTCTTCAGAGAAAGGGACCCTAACTTGTGCCAATATGCCTGCCTTTCACAAAAGTGGTTTTACTTCTAGTATAATAGTATTTGTTGATGGTGAACATTTTGAGTTTTCAAATTGACAAGTTTTGAGTGAACATTTTTGCGTTACGGTCTGATAAACTTCAAGTGTTTGATGACCAATCATGTCACGTTTGACACCCAGTTACATGTAGAGCATGTTTTGGCATCATGTGTTCACGCTTAGATGCAAGCGACAGTATAATTGTTTTTAAACATTATAAGTTATTTTTTTTAATTTGACCATGTACATTGTACATGTACAGTTCACAGCAAGATTTTGAGATGCTACAGCTGTATCAACTTCCTTGAGCTTTACATTAGAATTAGATTTTGTTTTTGTTTTTGTTTTTGTTTTTTTGTTTTTTTTTGGCTTCCTGAATGACCTTTGTTTTTTCCATTCACAGAAACAATACCAGGCAGAATTAGAAAAGTTGAAAAAAGGAGTGAACAGCTCATCTCTTGATCTCCAAAAATTGAAAGGTAAGCTTATAGTAAAGTGCTCTGTTTCTACAGTTTGACTCCCAAACTTTGTTAGGGTCTGAACTCACATAATAATAACATATATTATACATCTACATTTACATCTACATCCCTTACCTATACAGGGGACAAGAATTAACATGTAATGCAGCAGTTAGGCCTGATGGTACCTATCTGACCTTTTAGTTTCATTTATTTATTGTTGAACTGCACTATCCTGAATGTGGTTATCTTGCATTTCCTGCTATCTCCAACTCAAATCCTTTTCTCTTGGATGTGCTTTTTAAGACATATATAAATGTGCTATCAGCTATCTTAAACTATTTATCATTTCCCAGTAGAATGTGAGATTTCAACATTAGACTGTATTATACTGTAAAAGCATTCCTATGTTTGTTTTAAGGGCTTTGGGAATTGTAAACTGGACCCAGTTGTTCAATAAAATTAATGGGTTGTTTTTCACTGGAAAAATCACTATCGGGAGGTTAAAGGTTGAATTACCAGTATGACTTATCCAGTGGATGGTGTTGTTCATTCTTTGAAACAACTGGGGCCTGTCTTTTACTGTTTTTCAAACAATTGGTTTGCCTCCTCTAAGGATTTTGGGTAACTTTTGAACATTACCGTATTGATTATACCTTTGATCGGCTTTGTGGCATAATTGTACACTCTTCTTAGATGCATTCAATGAGAGTTAAAAAGTAGCTACAATGCAACTGCTAGTCAGCATGTCCACTGGTGGGAACATGGCAATCCAGTTGTTTGTTTCCTAGATTGTCAACATTTGGTTTTTGGCTACTACATTCTTTTCAAACCTTATTTTCTTTTACCTTTGTTCATACATACAGTACCAGCACTTACCCTCCATATAAGCTACATGTAAACAAGACAACATAAACACAACACAACCTTTGCATAATTATTATATTTGTAAATATTCCATTTGCCACTGGAGTTAAAACTCCTGACTTGTTTTTCCCAGCTCTGTGCATACGCATTGCTCACGGCTGGTGCATGAATATGTACTGTGAAGTTGAAAAACTAAGTCAAAGTTTTTGAATATTTCTTGTTAACAGGAAGAGCTGATGAGCTGTTAAAAAAGTACAAGGAAACAAAGGAAAGCCATTCTTCACTCTTGCAAAAGGTTGCAGAGTTGACATCTGAGAGGTGAGGCTTGGGCTAAGAACTTTCATTTAACCCAAATTATGCCCAGACCAGATACATGTACAGCTGTAGCTGATTTCATATGCTAATGAAATGAGCTATATTGGTAAATGGCCCTACAAAGGATACATTATGATTTTTAAGCAATTTAGTCTTGCATAGGATAGTTCATGGATCAGTGGTACATGTATAAAGAATTAGGTGTAGACTAGGAATTAACTCTTGGTAATGAAAGAACCCCTTAATTAATCATTATCATAATTCCATAC